AGCAAGAGCCGCAGCAAGCAGGGGTTTTGCAGGAGTGGGTTTTTGTGGAGAAAACCGGGGAGTTCATGCTAGGGTGAGTGGGTAAATCCTGATTGGGCATGTTAGCCAAATAATGAATATTGATTGTTGGAACTTGGTGTTTTGTCTCAGGAATGAGTTGGTGGCCAAATAAGGGATGAGGCCTTGGGGGCTAGCTTTAGGAATATAATCTAATAGTTTTCAGCAAGGAAGAGGAAAGGAGGTAAAAGGATAAACCCTCTTGGCACCATGTCTGCCACACCCAGGGCTGTTAGAGCCCTTCATGTTTAGGCAGTGAAGAGCTGAACCTTCTCTCACTCCCTATACACCCTTAGTTTGTTCTCCGATCTCTTCTAGACCCCCGTTAACCCACCCCATTGTCCTCATTTGTTGTAGCTTTTCTCATGGCTTTGTAAGAGCAAGGCCAGCTCTCACTTCCCCAGCATGGAAAAACTACCCCCACCCCACCTCTTTTATCCTAACAAATGAGAGGACTCACTGCTATGAATTTATGCAAATTCAGTGTTTAACCTGCCAGCCAAAGAATAGGGCATAGAGATTACTTCGTAAGATGTTTTTAAGCTTTTGAATTTTGAGTTCCAAGGAGAATGTTTTTTTTTATTTTTCTTTTTGGCAGATTTGATATAGACATAAAGATGGAAAATTAATTGTTAGCCTTGGGCGTTGAGGGGAGGTGAGGGGTTTTACTCACCATGGTTAGAAAGGACAAACTTATTGCCTAAGGATTTAACTCTGTATGAGGAATTTCTGATTCAAATTAAAAACACAACAAATGTCAAATAACCAAATTGGTTGCATTGTGAGGGGTGGGGGTGGGTTGTCACTCATTGGACGGGCAGACTATTAACACAGCTAATGAGAAAATCTCTCGCAGGGGAGACAGGAATGCTAGATTCTAGCCTCCCTTCTGCAAATATCATGCTACCTGACTCAGACCAAGAGACTTTGATTTTCCCAGATTCCTTCAGTTCTAGCTTTGATCAAGGAGAAATGCAAATTAATTTCGCCTTTTTGCCTTTTACCTGACAGGTGTGTAGGAGGTTCACGCAGCTAGAGAGTGCTAGCTTGGGCATCTAGCAGCACTTCAGGTTGATCTGGGCTTTTATCCTTTCGTTCCAGCTGGCATCATGGGGGTAAAAGGCACTGAGAGCAGGACTGGTTCTCATTCAAGGCGGTCCCTTGCCTACGCAGGGAAGACAGACCGCCACCTCAGAATCACAGGGTCTTGACTCTGCCTGAGATTTGCCAACTGATGACGTGAACACCCACTCAAATGTCTGGGAAATGTCTGGCTCTTCGCCATTCCTGTCGATTCCTCTCCACTCCAGCTCCCTGGCACTGACCTCGCTCCAATTCCAGGAGGAAGGTCTCCTGGCGTTGAACAAATTCTGGCAGAACCAGCCACTCATTCTGTGTTCTAGACACCCTGTTGACTGCAATCTCTCTTATAGGTGAGTAACAATGAGTAAGTGACTCATCGATTCTTCGTGGTCTTCTTAAGAATGAAGAAAGCATTTTCTCTACAAACTGGACAGAAAGAAGGCATAGTACCTGGCTAACTAGTCTATTTACAGAGATGAGGGTAATAGGTTTCTCAGTGTTTTTATGTGCCCTCTTTACGGTTCAGGTTGATGTCTGGAAACATCTGTCTATTCTCTGCTTTTAGCTATGTCTGTTTTTTTTCCTACCCAGGAATATACATCTTTGTTTTACCCCATCGCCTTCTCAAGCTGTGGCATCAACACGGGCTCCTTTCCCCGACAAAATTTCCTTATCAGGTAAAATACCCTGGAAAGAATTTCTCTGGGCTTTTTTTTCCAGCCGCATGTCATTTTCTCAGTTAGTCGCCCATTATTTCTAGGGCCTTTGATGCTATTGAGTATCCTTTTCCCTTAAAGGAAGGCTCTGTATATATAGCACATAGTTCTCCTTAACTCTTCAGTACTCTGTCCTTTGATGATGTCTCTTTTATTCTGTTGACTATTAACCTATGGCTTTCTGCTGGGTCCTGTACCCATTCATTCTCCAGTTCAGGCTTGAATCATAATTGTGATTCTGTGTATGAGTGTTTCAACTCAATGCATTAGTCAGGGTTCCCTAAAGAAACAAAACTTGTAGAGTGTACGTATATATATTATATGATGTAATACATATGGGATTTAATATGGTGGCTTATAGGCTGTGGTCCTGGTAGTTCAATAATTTGCCTGCAGATGGAAAGGCCAAGAATCCCGTAGAGGTTCAGTTCCTGCAGACTGAATGTTTCAACAGTCCCAATGTGGTGCTGGATTCCCAAAGGATTCCTAGAGGGCTGTTGGTCTTCAGATTATACTGGAATCTCAAAGAAGTAGGATCTAATGCCTTGCATTAGGGTAACTGAACTTGTCAGTGAGAGTAAGGCCTGAGGGCAAAAAGTAGAAGGCTACCTTCATCCATGCCTTTTTATGTGGCCTGCCACCAGAAGGTGTGGCCCAGTCTCAGAGTGGATCTCTCTACTTCAAACGATCCAATCAAGAAAGTCCCTCAGAGGCGTGCCAAGCTAGCTGGGTTTTTAGCGGATTCTAGAAGTTGTCAAGTTGACAACCAAGATTAGCCATCACATTACATAAAACCTATCATTTATGCGTATACCACTGTTCCTCTTGGATATCCAATATCTCTAGAGTTTTACATTCCATGGAATGAATCAATAGGGTTCAAATCCTAGATCTAGTCATTTATTTTTTTTTGTGGAATCAGGGGCAAATTGCTTTATAATGCCTCAGTTTCCTCAGCTGGAAAGTAGATGGTGATGTTGATAATAATGTCTACTCCAGTGGATTTAATGACACTGTGGTGTGGAAAAGACACAACATACCCTGTCACCATAGCACACAGCACAGAGACACTGCCTGTCACCAACCACACAGTGCAGACACTGCCTGTCACCATAGCCCACAGTGCAGGGACACTGCCTGTCACCAACCACACAGTGCAGAGACACTGTTATTAGTAGTATTTTGTCTTATTTTTGGTTTTATATGTGATAATTCGCCAAGCTATTTCCATTCCTCTTCTATCGTCCTTATTTCCAACTATGTTTCATTTTTAGTATCATTGAATAAGTGCCTGAAAGTTGTCAGAGCTGGGACGTCAGAGCCTCCTTGCTGGGGAGGCTCTGGGAACATCAAGGACGAGAGGGAGAAAAGATCGGAAGAGCCAGGGGTCCAGGGTGAAGTGACTGTTTCAAGATAGCGTCTTCTATTTATGACAGGGAGTTGTACCCAAGAACTCTCAGCAATAGCCAGAATATTGTTTATTAAGCTCCTTCTCCACTCATAAAGTGTTCCTACCATCAATAAATCAGAAAGTGTTCCTACTATCAATAAATCAGGCTCCAATCCTGCAGCTAGATCCAAGACCCTGTGTTAATTGCTCTTATTGTGCTGATGTACCTCTGTTCAGTGTATGAGCTTCAACTCTGGTTCAGTCCATCAACTCTTTGTCCCTGAGGATGAGATTTCACTTCCTGTACCAGGGAGTGTCGTTTAGATGGGACTCCCATCTTGGGAGAGGAAGAGTGGCGGTGGCAATGATGCAGCCTCACATAGGGCCAACCTTGATATATATGTCTAACAAACCGATCATTCGGCGATTGATTCTGAAAGAAAATAATTCTTTTGGAAGTCTTGGCTCTTTATTAAGCAAAGTTCTAGGAGACACAAAATAAGTAAAAAACTGACCTATGGGGATTGCAGCTCTGTGGTCGGATGCTTGGCCAACATGCATGAACTCCTTCCTAGGAAGTACTACTCTTCCGCAAAGCATAAAAGGTAGAGGAGCCTAGGTGGTATCATCAGCTCAGTAGACGTGCTGAGGAAGTGGACTTGCTAAGAGAGGTATTGTTTAGCTGGTGGAAGGAGCATCTGCAGTGTGACAGGCACAGCACAGTGAGTTACGATAGAGCAATGTTGTTTGCTTTCTGTTTTCTTCTTGTCACTGTCTGTTCTCTTCTGAGTCAAGGCGGAGGCGTCTGTACAGTGCACTGTGCCCTGTGTCCTCTTTAGGAAGAGGGAAAGGCTCCAGATTAGATCTGCTTCAAGATAGTGTCTTCTTTATTTGACAGCTAGGCTGCACCCGGAAAGTCTGCACTGTGACATCACCAGCTCACAGGTCAACAAGGATGCGGAATTCCCACAAGGCTTCACCCCTCAAAGAAGGTCTGAGTCTTCTCTAGGGCTGAGCTCCTGCTAGGCCAGCTAGCTTTAAACACATATGAACAACACTAAATTATCTCAGCAGTTTGTGTTTATAAACATATATATATATACATACATATATACACATATATGGCTATTTATATAGCAATTATAATTAGAGAACAAGAGGTCATAAATTTGAGAAGAAATGGGAGGGATATGGGAGGAGTTAGAGGAAGGAAAAAGATGGGGAAATTGTATAAATACTTATATATGAAATTTTCAAAAATAAAAATTATATCCTGCTTTTGAGTAAACACTCAGTTTATAGTATTACATTCTTATTAATACTGATCACCATTTCTGATGTGGTGGATTAAAATTACAATTCCTTTGTTATACAGCTGTTAGCTTAGTAGCTAATAATTATCTCATTTTGAAAAATATTGGCATTTCAGCTCTTAATTAAAACAAAAACAAACTACAAAATGCTTCTCAACATGGATGCACACATTAAATAAACTCTTAGCTTGACCCCGGCTACACCTACCCCTCCATTCCCAGAAGTTCTCTTGGCCTCTGTTCTTATCTTCCCATCTGGACTGGCAGCTGAGTTTCCTGAGCTGTTATCATCATGGGAAATCCTTTTTCGTTCCCTTAAGTTGGGCCCTGTGTTTTCCTCTTTGGTTTACTCATTTATTTTTATTTTTTGTTATTTGGAGGACATCCTTTGCAGCTTCCTGGGAAGGGGCTCGTGAGAATACACTTTTGAGACATCTTTTTTTAGCTTCAAGCTTCAGCGGAATCTTGGCTGGCTGCAGAGCGCTATTTTAGAAGGATTGTTCATCAATAATTTGAAAGCCTTGCTTCCGCATCTTCTGACTCACGGTTGTTGCGGGTGAGTTCCACCAGTGGTCGGCAACACTGCTTCTGCATCTTGTCTTTTCTGTGACTTTATCACTAAGTTCTAAGTCTTTTGGAAACATTTAATTTTCATTTTAGGGTTGGAGGGATATAACTGTATGAATTCCAACCTAGTTTTACACAGGAAACTCCAATGCCAGATTATTTCTGAAACACTGCGTTACAACATTGTGGAGCATTAGGGTTTGAACAAGCCACGGCGAAGCATTCTGGAGTCACCAGCAACCAGCCATTTAGTGTTTTGTTTGTTTGTTTGTTAGTTTTTTGAAACAGAGTTTCTCTGTGCAAGAGTCCTGCCTGTTGAATGCTGGGATTCAAGACATGCACCACCACTGCTGGGCTCTATTCAGTGTTTTAACCTCTCAGTCTTTGATTTTCAGTGCACCCTATCTCTTCTCAGTACTTTCGGCACAGAGTCAGCATGCCTTTTAAAAAATTTAATTATTTTTATTTTACCATTCTGAGAATTTGCCTATTTTTCCTAATTTTTTTTAGCATTTGGGATTGAATTTACATACTGAAGTTTATGTTTAATTGCCCAGTTCAACATTTAAAACCTCCTCATCTCAGTTTGCAATCCTTATCACACAGTATTTGGTCATATCCAAATCAAGCCATGCCACTGGCAGGGATTTGCCACTCTCCTTTGCCACTGTCATGTGCATCAAGCAGGCTGCTTTCTGGTTTACTAATTTGCCTCTCAGGACGTTTCGTGTGCCTGGAATTCTGCAATATGCTGTCTGATGTTGTCATTCCTTTCACTTTGCCTGCTTTCAGGGTTCATCCGTGGTGCAGATACCTGCATTTATTCCCTTTTTATTAGCAAGTTATGCTAATTTCAAGGGCTTTGAGTACAAGGTTCTGTTTTCATCTATGTGTTTCCAACATCTAGGCTGCTACCTAGTAGCTGTTAGCATGTTCTGTAATTGTCTATCAAGTGGATGGCCAGTTCTAAGTCAATTTTAAAACTCTATCCTCAAAATCTTATTTAAACTTTTTTATTGTTATTGTATATAACATGGACATGTGTCAGTGTGCATGGGGGTCAAGAATAACTTAAAGGAAGTGGTTCTGGTCTCCCACCTTTAATACATACTCTAGGCACTGAACTCAGCTTCTCTGGCTGCTCTTGCAATTGCTTTTACCCACTGAGCCATCCTACCAGCCCCCATACTTTCTCACTTACAAAACTTTTATCTGGTCATGGCCAGAATTCTTGTTTTAGAAAAGTGTAATGGTGGTTTCCACAAAAAATAAAATATTCTAAGTATAGATTGTTCTTATTCCTCCTCACAGTTGGATTAAGATACCATGTACTGACATCTTCATTAGAGCCGATGGTCTGTGGCTCAGGTACTATATCAAGTTCACGGGCAGTGCTAAGAGTGGGATTGGACCAAAGAAGTGTTTCCAGCTTGGTTCTGAAGTCTCTGTGATGAAGGAGAGGAGGGCCACAGTGAGAAGCACTGATGCAATAACTTATTTCCTATGAGAATGTTCTGACATTGCACAAAAATCTTCTCTTCCCCCTGGAGATCACCAAGTATTTCCCCTTTCACCCCTTTCCGTGTTTTTAAACCAAATGGAATTAGACCAAGATTGAGCCACTGGCATTGCTTCCAGTGCTTGTTAGAAAGTCAAATACTTGTGGATTCCTTTGATTCTAACTCCTTGCCTGGTCAACACATGGGAGGCAGTTCGGAATTATACTAAGACACCCAAGTTGTACTTTCTGAGATAGCCCCCCAACTTTGCACACTCAAAAGAAACACATACATAACTGCATAGGAAGCCCTCAGATGATGACAATGTAAGAGTTCAAACAAACAAAGAGGTAGACGTTTAAGAGTAGCTTAATAGCCTTGAATTATCTGTCAACAGCCAGAGATTGACAGAAACATCAAAATGACGGAATTTCTTGAGGGAAGAAGTCAGGACTTTGTGTGACTGATGTGAACACACACACACACACACAATTTCTCAAAATAAATCTCTTTTGTGAATTCAGGGTCTACGAAAAAGCTTTAAACGACCTCTGTGGGGGAAACTCAAACCCAACAATGCCAACATCTGACTTTATCGTTTGCTTTTTCCTCAAAAAGATGAGGAAGACAGAGGGGAACATTTGCCTATTTTTAGCCATGAAACAAGGTCACTAAATATATTATGTCAGTAAATCCAAGCCCCATTTAAAAAAAATGGTTCTATATAATGCATAAATTCTTCTTTTTGCTACAATTCAAGAGTGATGTGGGCTCTGTAACTATTATTTTCCTGGTTGGTTATGAGTGCCTGAGTTTTTGGTTGACATTTCTGAAATAAATATAGCTACAGGAGCACTGGTGTTCTGATTTAGAAATCTGACTACATTAGAAGAAAATTAACCTTTTCAAAAAGCCACTGTTCTAAGGAATGATTTTAATCAAATGAGTTTTAAATGTTGTACCTGCATATAGAATTTCTGGAGAGATTGCAACTCCCCAGTGATCAGCATTCTGAAGGAGGAAAATAACATCAAATAAATCATGTGTGAAGTAACTCTCCAAGTTGAAAAAAGGAAAAAAAAATAGAGCTGTTTCTTCACATAGCATCAAGTTCAGAACCAAATCAACAATTTTTATAAGTATTTTAGAAATATGCAAAGAAAAATATTGTAGGAAGAGTTCAGTGGCTTTATATTCCTGAGACTGATGTGAACGTGCACACACACACACTCACACACACACACACACACACACACGCTCAGAGAGTATCTTTTAAAATAAATCTCTTTTCGGGAATTCAGGGTCGATTTAAAGTTTCCAGTAAGTTATATGCTTGTTATTGGAATCCTCCATGATCCTCTTATTTATTCATTTATTTTCAGTTTGACAGCTGCTTCTAGTGTGCTAACACAAACACAGAATGAAGTCAGGGAGGTGTGCAGAGGAGTGCTAGACTATTATCCACTGCGGACTTCAAATGCTAGGCCCCTGGCATGCAGATTAAACACCTGAATGAAGATACAATGCTCCTGATTTTCAGAGTACCAACTCAAGTGTGTTCTTACGGTTAGCTTAAGGACATTCCCGTCTCAATCTAAGCAGTTTGCAGGAAGAGTTTGTCTCAGGAATTCTTGGAGCTCCTTGTCATTTCAGAAGTGGGTCAAGATGCTGAGGTCTATTCTGGATTGAACTGTTGTTCCTTAAAAGATGCGTTGAGATCCTCACACGCGATTGCACAAAATGGAACCTTACTTAGGAACATGTCATTGAATATACACTTAGCTAAGTCTAAGTTATAGTGGAAGGGTTTGGGGTCTTAATTCTCTGTGACTATTGTCCTTGTTTAAAGAGGGCACTTACACAGAGGGGACAGAGCAATATGATGATAGAGGCATCAAGTAATGGATCTGCAGATCACGGACCGTCAAAGACTCCCAGGGTTACTTACAAATGAAAGTGCTGGCGAGGCGGGCTCCTGCAGCATGGTCCTGTGGACAGCCTGACCTTAGCCTTTCTGACTCCTGAGCTGAGAGCCGAGAAGAACCAGCTGTCGGTGCTAGTCTGTTTGCGGTTCTTTAAAGCAGCAGCCCCAGGGAACTAACCCAGAGCCTAAGGCCACACCAGGGATTGAGGTGGAGTGGCAGGCATCTGTTTTCTGTATTCCTGGCCTCAAAGATAATGATGTCACTATCTTATTCATAGTACCTCTTGGGCCTGGCAGTTCCTGTTGTTTGAATACAGTTCTTGGGACTTAGGTACAATTTTGGAGCAGAAATTTAGCCCATATCTGAACTCTGTATATAACTTCTAGTGGCCAACTATAAGGCTCTCACACTCCTGAATTCCACATAAGAGGCCAATGCCTTACTTCTTTTCCCACCCCAGGAAGTATATTCACTAGAGTAATCATTTTTCAGATTGCTGTTTCTTCTGCTAACATTAATGTCCCCTCTTACCTTCTAAGGAAGCAGGCCTTTGGAAAATAGCTAGAAAGACGATTTCATTTTTTTTCCCCACAGCTGAGTCAATAACTCGCAAATCACAGAGGAAGACTTGAACACCTGAACTGAGGAAGGCAGTAGAAAACACAACTAGAAAAAGCCTATGAAGTAATTGATGAAACTATTAGCCTGACACAGATGATTAAAGGGGTTGCATTAAATTTTCCAATGCATTTTTACATAATTTATTCACTCTCCTTATGTCCTGGGAATAAATTGAGCAGATTGAGAGTGAAGAGAGAGTGGAGAAGGGCATATTTAATGCAGCATTTCAGCGCTAGGCAGCCATTAATGGGTGGCTCCAAGATTCTATTTTGGGATTTTTTTTGCATAAACAGTTGACATATATAAATCACTCACTCTCTCACACACACACACGCTTTACAGATCACCAGATGATGAATATATTGATTTTTAAAAAACAGGTAAAGCAACCTGACACAATAAATGAAAAGGGAATTCCAACAACCCCAAACATGGATGGGGAAAATAACACTGGATTCCACCCCTAGATGAAGAGTTATAAGCAGTACAACTTCCAACTTCCAAGAGAGGGACACTTTGTCCTTCCCAGGGATGAATCCATGATTGGTTGTCCAATACCAGTTGTCAGTCGATATGTATACATATAAATATGTATATATAAACATATAAGTTACATATATATGCAGCATTGAAATGACTCAAAAGATTATATTTATATGTTTTTTCATTTATATGTATGAAATGCATATGTAACACTAGATCTTAAAGAACAGGAGTCCTGTGAATTTGGGAGGGAGTGTGAGGGCTGCTTATGGTAGGGGTAGGAGAGGAAATGATGTAATTATATTTTAATTGAAATCTAAAAAGTCACTTAGCTTTCTAAGTTAGTGATTCCAAAGCCCATTTTCAACAAAAAAAATATACCCTCTCAGACAGATGTCCAGATGTATGCCTGGATCTAGCCATTTGGAGCAAGATCAGGTGATTTTTTAGAAACCATGCAT